GCGGGGTTCTAATACAAATTGTGAACTACACAGGCCCCATCTCCACTACCCTAGCCTGATCCCTTTACATGGGAACATTTGTCAGCCTAATTTTGTGCTTCCTATTGTAATTTGTTTTCCTATTCTTTCATTAGATGCAGTCAAAGTCTCAGGTTACATTGACAATGAGAGAAAACCTTGCCCTTCCGCTATAAATAAATGACTAGGGTTCTATAATTAATTATTGAGGGTTAGACTTCTCTATATCTCTGTCTTTTGGACCAATCATTGCATGACTGATTCATGAGGCTGCCACTACAGGGGCCTGGAACTAGGGAAGAAAACACGCAGTGAATAATTCAACCCTTGGTCCTAGAAAGTTGTATCTCCTTAAAACAAAAACTAAGAAAGCCATTTGATATAGTTTTTGTGAAACACATATTACTAGATAACCTAGGGTGAAATTATCTGTCTAGTCCTATGTCATGACCAAAGAAAAATTTTAAAGACGAAGGAATTGAAACAGCCATGAGCTTGTCCTCAGTGACCTGACAAGCTCAGAATCATTTTAATCCTGGGATGCTCAGAATGCTTCAGAAGTTAGTTGAGGAAAGCTTCATGGAGGATGATCAATTGTGTGATCCATGAACCTCCCTAACCTTCACCACTCCCTCCTAACCTTCACTGTCTTCCCCTTATATTTGCATTTGTTGAAATAAATATTTCAATTAAAATATAGTATATTAAATTTTACCTAGTATATCATGTTTCCTTTCTATATTTTCCAAACACACATATATCTGATTGTACCCAGAATAACAAAAGCTAAGAATCAAATATTTGTTCCCTATTATATACTAACTAGAGGCCCGATGCACGAAATTCATGCAAGGGGCTCAGCCCTCGCAACCTTGGCTTCGGTCAGAAGGTCATCCGGATGGTCGTTCTGCTGTTTGGTCTAATTAGCACATTAGCTTTTTATTATATAGGATCACAACAACAAAAATGTATATTACACACCAATACTTTATTTTAAAGTGGGCTATTAACTTACTAAAAAGAATTACCTCCCCCCTGTTTAATTTTCCTGGTTAGCAATTTCCTCTTTTTCTTCTTCTTTTCTCCTTCTCCTCCTCCTCTCTCTCCTTCCTCTTCTTATTCTTATTCTTATTCTTCTTCCCTGCAAAAATGTCCATTTACTAAACTTCATAACTGCCTGGCCATTTTCATGATAGCCTATTGTGTTTTCAACCTCTTCCTTTTAATAAGAAAATCACTTGTATCATTTAAGGTACATAAAAGAGGCACCAGTTTTAAACTCTTAATCCTGGGATATTAGGATGCTCACCAATAATTGCAATTTTAGCGTGTACACCAGCATTTTGCCTGGGAAAACCTGTGCCTTCTCCTCCTATATAAATTTTCATTGTTGTTCTGAGTATTTCTCTAGTCTTAAGATTGGTTTATTTTTTATTTCATATGACTGTTACCCACCATTCTTTCAAATCACATACTTTAAAAGCTGAGAAATAAGGATAAGATAAATTACAGCTATTTTATGATATACATTATAATATTATGTTTCTTTAGACAGAACTAAAACCTAAGGAATTTCTGTGGATTTTGAAAATTAGTCCATTGAAAAATCACCCTTTGATACATGAAGAATAGCTAAAAAAACATAATCTGTATCACTGATTTTCACTATTATTATAAGCTGTGTTAAGCACATGTGAAAATATGGATAAATTATACTTTAAGACATGAATTAAAAATGGCTTCTAGAAAACTTTTTAGAAAGTATGGATAGAGTAGAGTACCCATAAAATTTCTCCTTTTCTGTGGGGTTTTATTATGTCTTAAAATTATTTATTAGGGGAGAGAAAAACAATTCTGTTAATTATTTATTAATATTAAAATATTGATGAGCATTACCCAAATGTACCGGGATTCCAGCTGATGTACTGGGGTGAGACTGTGAAAACGCATCCAACACAAGGGGCGAGGGGCTATATTAAAAGAGCAGAACAAATGACTTAACAGGGGCCTAAAAACAGCAATCAGAAAAGGTTCATTTAACTTAGAGATGACACAAGCTTTGAGCAATTGCCTCTGCTTAAGTAAGTGTGGAATTACAAAAGGCTATTTATTACAGTCCAATGGGGTCTGCAGCTTGCTCACAGACCTTTGAAGAATTCCAACAGTTATAAAGTCTTGCTCAGTGCAGAAGCAGTAAAATGTGGGCAGATCCCCAAAACAGCCTGCAAAGCTTTCCTGAAAAAAGTTAATTCAATCCTAGCCACAATTGTTCTTTGATATGAATTGCTTTCTCTTTCTCTTTAAGGAGAGATGCTATACCTGGTAATTTTCAAAGTTTCTTTAAAAGTGTATTTTAACCGTTAAGGAAAATAAATCATATTCAAGGTGATATGGGATGAATATAGGGTCTCCATGGTTTGACCAGGAAAGTTTTCCAACATTTAGCTTCTTTGAAATGCTCTGAAAGCATACATTAGTTACTCTAAAGTGGGTTTCTTTCAGCAGGAAAATTTGTGATATTTCTCCCGTTTTTTGTATAAAAAGCAGAATTTGGTTCCAAGGACATTGGAGCAGAAATTTTTATATTAGTGATTGGACAATGACTTGATTTTTCTAAGTATTAGAATACATAAAAAAAATAATTCTCAATGATTTAAAAAATTCGTTATTTATGGCTCAGTGATATGTTTATAATTATTGAGTATGTTTATAAAATTTCAATTAATATAACCAAAATAAATTACCCTTTTCTTAGAATCAATTTCAGAGCAGCAACCACCAGGGATGAGGGATGGGGGTGTTGTGAGTCCATGTTGGGTATAACACAGTAATACTGAATAAAAGAAAAGCAAACATTAATGGAAAATGATGCTTCATGAAAAGATAATTAATTATTAATCGGAGCAAAACATAAGTAAGAAAATGAATTTACTTTTCCATCAGGAAAGCAAGACCTACATTTTTCCTTGGCAAAAGGTTCAGAATCATCCCCAGGCCACTCAATCCAAGAAATGATGCTTTAGTAACAAAAGAGTTCTTAAGAGGGTTTTACAAGTAATAGAAGAATGGGAAAGTTATTGCAATAGAGTCTTCATTTAGGATTACATTTTCCAATAAAGTGTCATGAGGCAGGCTCATGAAACTAGTTTTATGTGAGGAATAAAAAGTAAAGGCATTTATAAACAGGAACAATTTAAATGAGAGGTTGTGAAACCAAAATATGGTGTTTGGGTCCAAGTTTGTTGTCTCACAAAATCAAAGAATGAGTTCACGTACAAAAACAGATAGCGGAAGCAACTTTTATTGGGAGAAGGCAGTCCTGGAAAAGGTGTAGAGGGGATTCCAAAAGCAGGCTAGTGTTTGGAGTTTCCATTCGCGGTGCAGGGGAGCACAACCCATGGAACCCAGCACACACCAGAGAAAGAGGAGAGGGGAAAGAGGAAGAGAGACATGCGTGTGTGTTTGGTTTTTTGTTTTTTGTCTAGGAGTAGTTATGTGCCTTGCTAGCTTCTGATTGGTCCTTTCAAAGAATTCTATCTTAGTAACATTATTGGGATCGGTTATATGCCTCACTGTCTTGTGATTGGTTATCTGCAAACTGCCTGTTTTAGTAATACCCATACATTTTAAAGCTTACATCTCCCGGGTGGGTGCGTGTTCTTTCTCCATCTAGTTGGGTTGTCTTAGTAACTCCACCTAGCTGGGTTCCTGGGTTCTACTCCCTCCTCCCCATGGTCCCATCCCTGTCTACCTAGCTTCCTCTGTCTCCTCACTTATATATATATATATATATATATATATATGTTGGCATAATCACAGAAACATCAAATCAACAGTCTGCTAGCCATTGTGGGAAATACAAACACAGGGTTTTAATAGTCTTTGGTTTGAGAAAAAGTGATGAGAAAAAATAGGTCCTTCAGCAATGAAAACAATTCAGCAGTTAATGTACCTAAGAATTCTTGATTTTTTTTTCATGTTTGTAATGTGTTTTGCTGGATTCCATTAAAGCAGAAAGCCACTGAACCTCAAGTGAGATATTTCGGTTGCCAATGTACCAAGATTGAGATTTGAAACCAGAAGTGCATTGATGGAGAGTATGGATTTTTATTTTTAATGGAAGGATTTTAAGTAGGATATCACTTAAAATATATTTAATCTTCCATCAGAAATGAAGGTGACCCTCTGATATCTGATCCAAACAGGTGGTTTTTATTCATGTTCTATTCTTTTGATAATGCATAGCAAAACATAATAAATATCAAGTCACCACCCAATAAGAAACTTCACAATATAGGTTGAGAGTTGTGGTACAAACAGCAGTCATTTCATTGGTAGTTCTTATTAAATATTTTTAAAGAAATAAAAAATGTTAAAGCAGAAGATTGCTGCACTTTTCTGGTATATATTTTTATTCATTAGAGGCTTTTGTCAACAGTCAAGGTATGTCCTACTGTATGTCCTAAATCTTATCTATTTTACAATATATTCAATATTATTATTACCTATTGATACCATGGGACTCCTTGTGCATAATGGATTCCAGTCCTCCTACAGAGTTGAGGATGAAAATGTTATCAATGAGCTGAAGAATCTGGTATTAATAATTTTGCAACATTATAACAAATAGGTAGTCCTGATGTTTTGTTCTTATTTTAATATATCAAATATATTTCATTGCTTACATTAGAGTAGCAGATTGAAAACATCTGCTCACTTGCCACTATTCCACCAGCAGCTGAAAATCTCAGCTCATTTTCCATAGGCCTGTTTGTACCAGGGCTATAATCCAGCTGCCGAGGCTTGATATGGGGCCAGATTAATACTCAAGAGCCTTTGAAATGGAAATAGTGTTTTCTTGCCAAAAATTAGAACAATGATAGACTCCATTTGCTGTTCGCTTTGCTCTCTGCTCCTCTTTACCACATTCACAACCTGATTAATTTGCCCCCTCCTGTGACCCCTCCATCCTCTCTTTACAGCTCCATCACCTGTCGTGACCATTAAGAAGGATCGGACATCCGGAAACAGCATCTCTTTATCCTGGCAAGAACCCGAACACCCTAATGGGATCATATTGGACTACGAGGTCAAATATTATGAAAAGGTGGGGAGACAATGTGTTAGTGTTGGGTTGTGTAGGGAAAGAAGTTACCTACTCCTGAGCTGTGCTCTTACAAAGACAGGAATGGCATTGCTACAGAGTGGCAGTGCTTTGTTTAAATCTGTAGTTAAGTGGCACTTCTTTGATTTATAGGTAAAGAGGGGTTTAGAAATTATTGTGTAGAATATCCCCCATTCAACTCAATGAGTCACGGCAGAGATGATACTACCAAACTGAAGACATCTAGTCATTGGAAATGACATTTATGTCCTTCCACATCAAGACCTGTTGCTCTACCAACTATTTCATAGTGATTCCTTAACCCTTGATGAACTATTCCTTAGTTTATTGCCTTAAAGAATCATTACTTGACCTACACATTCACATTAATTTTATTTAATAGAAACATTGAATAACAAGACCCATGTATTATTATTGAACTGACAGAGAAAAGTTTTCTTGGCTTTGTACAAGGAAATCTAGAAGATGGGAGTGGGTGTGTAAGTCTGCCTCACATCATAAAATTGTGGTTCAGTAATGAAGTTGTACAAAATAGGTATATGGTTATTTATAAGTAGAATTTAGACTCTTATATTTCATCACTAAATAGCACTTATTTCTCCCTGGTTATACATGATTGTGAGATTTGGAAGCAAGATGTATTCAAACATCATCATCAGAGCTGGGTGGTTTTATAGCTACTACTATGGACACAACATTTTTGTGTATTTGTTGCAGTTTACAAAGTATTTTAGAGTGAATATTATATAGTAGTTGATATTTATAGAAAATGTTTGCATACATTGTCTAATTTGGAGCTGTCTGATAACCCTGTGAAAGTGAGAAAACAGGCTTTTTTACAAATAAAAGAAAACTTGGAGTCAGTGAAGTTATTTGCATTTCTCACACCCTTACTGCTAATGAACAGTAGGTCTCTGTTTTGAATCCTGGCAGCCATGACTCCTCATTAGTATGTTTGTCCCTGTGTTGCCTCCCTGCTTCCACATGACAATGGATTATTAAGTATGATCAATTGCACAAAAGGTATAATGTATGAATTTTTTTTGCAAATGTAGGTATTTTCTTTATTGAAGTTAACCTATTTCACAAGTATCATGCCATTCTTTTCTTACCCCCTTCTCCCCACCACTCACACCACACACAGGGTATGTCTCATTTCATTAAAAGAAATAGAGGCCTAATGAACTTCACTGGGTCAAATCACAGTATAAATAAGTTATCTCCTACATTCTTATCTTACCCCCTTCTCCCCACCACTCACACCACGCACAGAGAAGGTATGTCTCATTTCATTAAAAGAAATAGAGACCTAATGAACGTCACTGGGTCAAATCACAGTATAAATAAGTTATCTCCTAGTTTTCTATGATCCTGTAGGGCACTGTTAAATAGTCATCTGATCATGATCTTCTATCTTTAAAAGTGTGACAAAGCCTGTGAAAACACAAGAATCCATATTATAGCTGATGCAACAAAATAAAAAGAAAAGTAATGATTTGCCTCAGCTCAGACCTGGTAGCAGAACTACAAAGCACCCACCTTTTAGATATATGGGGCTGTTTGAAAAAAATAATGAATCTAAATTCATATCTTTTGCAAATACAAAAAAAAATTTCTGAACTTATTTTATTCTCTACAAACAAAGCATAACGCAAGGTTATTTTTAAGTAATATTAACCAGTGCAGGAAAAAAAAAGTCTAAATCTATTTTGCTATTCCCTATGCATTTCTAAAATTGGTACACTTATGTAATATTAATAAATACATATGTAAGTATTTATATCATACATACATCAATTTAAAAATAACTTCCATATATATGACACTTAGAAATATTGTAATATTTCACTCTATGAGGGCTAGTGAACATTTTTATAACAAATGAAATAATTTTTATAAAATGAATATATTTATCTCTCTTCATTATTAAATATATCAACTCCAAGTCTATCATAACCAGCATCTTTAACTAAAAAGTACATGTAACCTACATACAACCTTATTTCTGCAATGTTCCATCTAGTGTTGGTTGAGGACAAGCATCATTTCGTCTCCCCAATCCAGACCCCACCCAGATACAGGAACAGCCCATCATGCTCAAAAACAGGCTCTCCATAAAGTGCTCAGGAGATATTAATATATATTAGAGAACAAATGAGATTCTGTATAAATTCATTTTTTAAACAAATCTCGACACAAAAAGACTTTACTATGGATGTGTAATGTGAACCTGTTCACGTACAATGCATTGATTCTCCTAGATGAGATTCTTTGGGAAAATATTTCTAGACTTCAACCTGAGGATTTGTGTTTCTATTAAATCACTGTGGCTTCAATACAATGCAAATACAACACAACTCAATTGATGCTGATAATGTGATTAATGTAGAGCTATACATAGAAATTTGATCTTTTAAGTTTAATAGTTTACAATTGATAAAATATTTCCTATCTGAGAATCAGTGGGACATTCTTATTAGGAACAATGCAAAGGGGTATTTTCCTCTTTGCAAAGGTATTCTTCTAATCAGCTTGAAAATTTCAGCCTTATGTTTGAAGAGAATAGATTTTTGCTCAAAGATTCACTCATTGGCAAGAATGAAAACTAACTTCCCTGCTTATGTGCAGGACACAAATTAATATATCCAAATTAGGAAACTAAATGTTTTTTTTTCTAAAAAATGCCTTCAGAGGGTGAAATGATTATCATCTCTCTTTTATATCTCCTATGCTACATTTTATAATAGTTTTGAGTGGTTTACTTTTTACCACTTAATACATTATGAAGGTTTGATTTTAACTTGATCTTTCTTACCTCAAAGCAGGAGCAAGAGACAAGTTATACCATTCTGAGGGCAAGAGGCACAAATGTTACCATCAATAGCCTCAAGCCTGACACTACTTACGTATTCCAAATCCGAGCCCGGACAGCAGCTGGATATGGGACCAACAGTCGCAAGTTTGAGTTTGAAACGAGTCCAGACTGTATGTATTACTTCAATGTACTGTAATTGGGGGCAGGGGAGATGTTCCAAAGGTGTCCGATATTTCACTCTCACTCTCCCTACATTTTAACTAAGTGTGATACACTGAAAGTGTACTGCTTGGGAAATTTAACAATTTGCATAGCATTGGGTCTGGGCATTTGTGTTTGTATGCACATCTGTGGTTTCTTCTTTTACAAATAAAACATATTATAATGCCTGGAATGCTTCTGGTTTCCTATTAGTCATAAATTGTTCTTAGGAACATTAAGTAGTATGGTAACACACTTCCAATACCTATTAATACAGATATTCCAGGTTCAGTGATTGGTTGACAAAACTTTCTGATCCATGAGGATCTTAATTTTGTTTTAATCCTCATATTACTTGGAGAGTAAGGATTTTTTAAAATCTGATTTATGACAATTTGAACAGTTCCATCTATTTGACACCAAATTTGGCTAAAACCGATCTAAAATTTACAAACATTATCCTAATAATATTTTCATTTTATTTGAATTCATTTGCTTCATGTTAGAAGAGTTTTCTGTTAAATATATATTTAAATATGATAAAATCATGGCTGTGGTGCTAATATAAAATGAACACAAGCTAAAATTTTATTTGACTTAATGTTACTAATAAGAGGTTAAAATTGGTTCAAAGGAAAATTTAAAGGACAGATTCATACACACATTCATACAAACATATTTGTATCTGTGTATAAGTAATCAGCAATACTTAAACTTGAAAATAAATCCCAAACTTGTGAATATTCTATAGGAAAATAAATGTAATTATCTCATCCACAGCACATATCAATTACATCTCTATTGAATAAGTGTCACTGTAACTGTGATGAAAAAATTATATGCATCACTGTAAGTTCTCTTCAACTTAAATTCACAGCTGTAAAATAGCCCAGAATCAAAGGTGAACACCTTTTAGAAACAGCTTATCCAGGAAGGATGTAATAATTCCCAGTTCTCTACTGAAAGGAAGCCAAGTAATCCCTTTTGACTGTTCTAATTTGTCATTTTCCCCTGGCACCTACATTTTCTATTATATAATTATTTTGTTTCTGACATAAAATCACATTGTTATTGGTATGCTAAAAATTTTATGCTCAAATTTTATACCTAATATAAACATTCATGATTAACAAAAAATATATATAAACACTGTTTAAGTTAATGTGCTAGACTAAATGTTTTATGGCACACTTTTTGTCAGACAATTAGGAATGTGGCTTATAATAACAAGCTGTACATTCTGCAAAGTATTGAGATTTTAGTGTTTTTAGAAGTCATTGGCTCACAGCTGAAACCTGACGATTCCATTTGGAGGAGAGCTGCCATCCTGGAACACACAAATCTGTACTCAGGCCCTCCCCTAATCCTCCTGAGATGGGATGAGCACAGAGAAACCACTCTCTGAGGATACTTGACACAAAATGCTGTAAAATACCATGGGAGTGCAAGTGAACAATGTTTAAAACAAATTACATATTTTAGGAATTGAAAATATCATTCAATTTAGCATTAGAAATTCTACATCCTTTCATAATTTTAAGAGGTGCAAAGCTAGTTTCTTGCTTTGAAATGATTATAGATTGCCTTTTATCAAGATTTGACATGGTTATTAGAATTAACAACAACAAAAGCTAGCTATATTTGATTCACCAAGAATGATCCCAAATCACGGAAATAACAAAAGCGAATGTTTTTTATATCCTGTGGTATAGATTAGGCGTATTGAAGGCAGGAATGTCAGATTGCCATTAGATAAAACTTCATGTTAATGCATTATTTTGCAATATCAATCTAATCTTATATGTTCTTCATTAGCACTAACCCTATATGATAAGTAAATTTGTCAAAACAATGACAATTTCTAAAATTCTAATGTAATTACATATTTACCACAGATATCACTGTGGTTGTGTTATATATGAACTTCTCATGAGGCTTCAGTGTCTGAGACTTAAGGAATATTCCATTTTAAAACTGCAGATTCTTAGGAATTTTGACAAATAAATTTTATATTTGCAGTACTTACATTGCTTGAGAGAGAGAGGAGATAAAAAGAGAATAAAATGAAAAATACAATCTTTTTAACATCTCCCTCTCCAGTTATTTTTTAAAAAGCTGAGTTGCACAGTTTGATTTTTTAAAAAAATATATAGAAATTTATTCTTACTGCTTCACCATAGAATTCTTCCAGACTTTAAATATAGATGAGAAAAAAAGTGCCCATTGCTTTAAGGGGAAAAGGATAAAATCAATTCTCACTCCATTTTTTAAAATAAAAATGATATACAGTTGACCTTTGAACAGCTTGGGGGCTAGGGGCGCCGACCACCTGTGCAGTCAAAAATGCACACATAATTTAAGTTAGTCCTCTACATAGACGGATTCCAACCACAAATCAAAACTACATATTCATAAAATACTCTAAAGATTTAAGACTCTTCTTTGTTATATATTGATATTTAATAGATATAAAAAGGCCTGTGTTTAGACTTTTTTAACAGTTTGCTGTTTGCTCTGGTTTTTATTTATTTTTATTTTTAAAATATATTTTATTGCCCTAACCGGTTTGGCTCAGTGGATAGAGTGTCGGCCTGTGGACTGGAGGGTCCCAGGTTCGATTCTGGTCAAGGGCATGTACTTTGGTTGCGGGCACATCCCCAGTAGGGGGCGTGCAGGAGGCAGCCGATCAATGTTTTTCTCTCTCATTGATGTTTCTAACTCTCTATCCCTCTCCCTTCCTCTCTGAAAGAAATCAATAAAAATACATATTTAAAAAAATATATTTTTTTTATTGATTTCAGAGAGGAAGGGAAGGGGAGAGAGAGATGG